AACTAATAGAACTGAAGGGAGAAATAGACATTTCAACAATAATAGCAGAAGACTTAAATATCACACTTTCAGTGATGAACAGAATAGCAAGACAGAAGATCAGTAATGAAATAAAAGACCTTAACAACACTTGAAACCAGTTTGAGCTAATAGACTTCTATAGAATATTACACACAATGACATCAGAATACATGTTCTTCTCAAGCGCACATCTTCCAGAGTAGATTGTACTCTAGGCAATAAACAAGCTTAAATAGATTTAAAACAATTGAAATTATGCAAAGTATATCTCTGATCACAATGGAATGAAATTAAATATTAAAAACAGTAGAAAACTTGGGAAATTCACAAATATATAAAAATTAAACAGCATATTCCTAAATAATTAATGGACCAAAGGAAAAACCACAAGGAAAATTAGAAAATTCTTTGATATGAATGAAAACAAAAACACAGCATTCCAAAACTCATGGTATGCAGCTAAAACAGTGGTTAGAGGAAAATCTATAGCTTTAAATGTCTATACTTTTTAAAGTAAAATGTCAATCCAATAACCTAATTTTTACCTAAAGAAACTAGTAAAGGAAGAGCAAATTAAATTCAAATTAAGCAAAAGAAAAATAATAGTGAAAACTAATATAAAATGTGACATGAAAATAATTGAGATAATGAATCCAAAAGTTGATTCTTAAAAATAATCAATAAATTTGATAAAATATTAAAAAGATTGATCAGCAAAAAATAAAGAGGATAAAAAAACTAAAATCAGGAATGAAAGAAGAAAAATTACTACCAACCACAGGAGTAAAAAAAGACTACATGGGACTATTATAAACCAATCTATGCCAACAAATTATATAGATGAAATATCAATAACACCAAAAAGATGCAAACTACTGAAATTGGGAACAGAAATAGAAAATCTGAATTAACTTATAAAAACTAAAGGGATAAATTCAGTGACAACAAAAACAAACAAAAAAGAACAGAAAACAAAACGATAAAAACCTTCCTACAAAGAAAAGTCCAAGTCTTCACTGGTGAATCCTGCCAAATATTTACAGAAGTATTAATATTATTTTTAATAAACATACAAAACACAGATGAGAAGGAAACACTTCTTAACTCATTTTCTGAGGCCAGTATGACCCTGACACTCAAACCACACAAAGACATTAAAAGAAAAGAGAACTACAGAACAATATCCTTTATGAATATAAATGTAAAAATCTTCAAAAAAATCTACCACCACCAAACTATAAATAGGATTATATGCCACGACCAAGTGGGATTTATCCCAGGAAGGCAAAGCTGTTGAAACATATGAACGTCAAACAATGTAATACACCATATTAACAGAATAATGGACAAAACCATGTGATCATGTATGGCATGACTTAGTGACTGAACAACAATTCCCTGTAGTACAGCTCCAAGTTTGTAGCCAAAACTTAAAACACTGGAAGCCTGATAAATTCTATTTTGTGTAAGTCCATCAAAAAAGACAAAATTTACATGTTGTCATAATTTTATATATCCTACTATCAAGTATATAGTAGGCAACAGTTTCTGTTTTAAATGTGTCCATAAGAACAAAATCATTTATTGCAATTATACATGGATAATTGAAAAAAATTCCCACAGTGTAGCTTCTAGGCCTAGGATCTATACTGTATGTCATACTGATATACAATCTCTGATGCTGGAATTGTGTTTTAATGCAGGTGAGTAGGACCAGGGGAAAGAGAAAGATTTCTGGAACTCAATTCTACATTGGTCAGCTTGAAAGAACTATACATAAATGTGTTCAGTTGCAACAACTATACATGAAGTGACTGTACACCACATAATTATCTCACTGAATCCAAACTAAAAACATTCCTCAGTTCCTCCTTAGCTCAAATCCACAGCCATTCCAAACATGAGGAAAAACAGCAAAGATTAAGTCAAAGTGGAAAAAGACAGTAAAATTATCTCACATTTGTAAAATTTACAAAATCATATGACCATATGAATAAACTGCTAAGCCCCTCCTACGGCCTTGAAGGGGCCCAGGCAAGAGAAAGACTTGAAATTAAAGCTTTATTAGCTTCACAATACACGGACCCCTGGCTTCAAGGCATCTCAAGGCAAAAGAAATTGGCAGTTTCACCCTGAATTCTTTGAGTCTGCTGTCCACTCTAGTAAACTATCAACTTTGTCTGATAGCTTGTTGCACTAATAAGAGCATAAATTCAGCTCAAGGTGGGGTTACAGTCCCATTATACTCATATTCCAACTCTGAGAATCAAACTTTTGAAGGCTAGTTGTTTAACCCAAAGACATCCAAAGGACAGCGGAAAAGACTCGAAAGAGGAAGAGTTATTAGAACTTGGGTGTTCAGCATGTCAGAGATGACACAGAGAGGAAAGACCTTTTGCAAAATGTGAATGGGATTGTCACTACGGATGAAAAATTAAACTTGCTCTACACTCCTTGGAGCAGAAGAAGGGCTAGGGTGTGGTTTGAAGACTTAATGCAAAAAAAAAAATTACATAAAATATCTCATGAATAATGTTTATGTTGATTACACATTGAAATGGTAATATTTTAAACAGTTAGGGTTAAATCACATGCATTATTTTCACCTGTTTCTTTTTACTGCTCTCATTTGGCTACTAGAAATTCTAACAGTATATATATATGCGTGACTCACATTTTTATGGCCCACATTATGCTACTATTGGACAGCTGGTCTAAGGGTTCAGCCCCACTGAGATAATCGCTAAGCCCTCAAAGCTACTGCAATTTTACCAAGAGCTGAAACACCAAAGACATTTCATAGTTAGGCCGCTTTTACTTGAAATTCTCTTTTCATGAATTTAGCGCATTTACTGTATCTGTTTCCTTGGTGTCACTTGGTTTTTTCTTAAATCAGGAAAATGAGCTTCTATAGTGTTCAAAAATAGCCCAATAAAGACATATTACTGTCTTTTTGCTCAGTAGGAGTAGATGGGTCATAACAGGATGTCTGACACTGGCAGGTTTATACAGTAATTTTTTTCTTATCAGCTACTTAATGAAACGAATTTCTATCATAGCATCTTTTAAATGTTAATACTCTTACAGCTGTCTTCAAAGACCTATTTTGAACTAAATATGTTATCAATCAAAATACTCATTAAAATTCAGCACAAGCTTATGCGAAGAGCGAGATTAAATCATTGAGGCATCTGGGCCTCTTATTTCACTAATGTGACCTCATTATATCTTAATTTGTTATTACAGAAATTTAATTTTCTGATGCCATAGAATTACTAAGGGTCTTCACATTTCCCAGATTTTCATCCACCCTAGCTGCAAACTTTTTGATCATTTACTGGTTGGGTCCTTGTGGGTAGTTTCAAGGTTTGTACTTCTGACAGACTACAGCGTGTAACCAAAGAAAGCAGTGCTCCCTGACGCTGGAGGGAGGTGATGTTCCAATCCCTGAAGGAGCTTGGAGAGGGTGTTCTCTCTAATCAGATAAGAAAATACCTTGAACTGGCATTTCATTTCCAGCAGCCACCATTAACAAATGGGGACCCTGACCTTCACACTCTGCACCTGCTCTCTTGTTGGCATCGTCCCTCTGAGGACATATGATAGAGTCAGAAGCACACAAAGGACTGTTTATGGGGCTGAGTAGTTCCTCCATCCACCTCAGAGAGTTACGAGGACCAAGGAAGGCGATAAATTCCTAGCACAGTGCCTGGAAACAAAGTAAATTCTAAATTCATCCTATTTATCTTCCTCTACCCACCCACCCTCATATCACCTTAATCTAACCATTCAACCAAACACGCTACTTGGTTTTCATGTGTGTGTGTGCCTGCATGCATGCTCAGTTGTGTCCAACTCTTTGCAACTCCATGGACTGTAACCCACCAGGCTCCTTTGTCCATGGGATTCTCCAGGCAGGAATACTGCAGTGGGTTGCCATTTCCTTCTTAGGGGATCCTCTCGACCCAGGAATTGAACCTGCGTCTCTTGCATCTCCTGCATTGATAGGAGGATTCTTTACCACTGTGCCACCTGGGAAGCCCATTCTCCCACCACTTAAGGAGAACCCAAGAAACACCAAAAGGAGAGACAGAACATCCCAATTGTCAAAAATCAAGAATATGGTATTCAAAAATTCGGTCCGTTTTTCATATAAGGATGATCACCAAAATATCATGATGTAGAACACTCAGAATTTCATCTGAAAACTTTGTCACCTTAAACCCATACACCTATACCTATGTCCAACACTGCTGTCAATTATAACAAAATGGTCATTCTTTTCATCTCTAATATTGTTTCTCCTTGTTACCTTCTCACTTAAAAAAAAAAAAATTCCAAGTTGCCTAATTGCCATGACCAGGGATGAATTCTGACCAGATCCCAGAACCCAGAGTAGTCCCACTGTGATGGCCACTGGTAGAGTGGCTTCATTCCTTGTGCTCACACAGGAAGACTCAGAAAACAGGACATAAGCTGCCCATCAGATTAACAGTCTTTTAGCCTCAAGTTATTACAACACACCTTTTATGACAGACATGAGCTGTCAGGAGGTAGATATTTCACTTTCCTCTCCAATTCCATCTACTGCCTCTCCTACTCTTCTCCTCTTTCAGCAGCCTGTCTCAGCTACCCTGGCCTCCTTCTCCTGCTTCCACAGCCAGCCTCCCACCACAATAGGGCTGCACACCCTATTGCCTGAGGGCAGAATACTCTTGCCCCAGATCGCCACGTGGCTCACCCTCACACTCTACAACGGCCTGCCCAGCTATCTCCTTTCAGTGAGGCTTTGCCAATGAATTAGTTGCAAATGAAATGACAACCCACTCCAGTACTCTTGCCTGGCAAATCCCATGGACGGAGGAGTGGTAGTTCATGGGGTCAAAAAGAGTTGGCCAAGACTGAGCAACTTCACTTTCACTTTTCAGTTGCAAATGAAACTCCTTCTCTGCCCAAACTCGCCCCCCTAATCCACTTACCTGTCAATCTTCCCAGAAAGCATCTATCACCATCTGATGTCACATGCTGTCACATGCTGTTCATTATTGTCAGTCTCCCAGATTCAAAGGTGAGCTTCACAAGGGAGGGACTTTGGGCAGTTTTTCTGTGGCTGTCTCAAACACCTACAAGTGGGTCTGGGACAAAGGATACCTGGTAAGTGAATGGAGAAGGCATGCAGTCATGGTTTTCTGTCATTTTGTTATGGGTTTCCCAGGTGGTGCTAGTGATAAAGAAACCACCTGCCAACGAAGGAGATGCAAGAAACATGGGTTTGTTCTGTGGGTAGGTAAGAACCCCTGGAACAGCAAATGACACCGCATCCAGTATGACTGCCTGGAAAATTCCATGGACAGAGGAGCCTGTCAGGCTACAGTCATTTTGTTGGAGTGCATCAAATAAGAGTCAGGCACACAAGGGACATTATTTTTAAATCCATGCAGTATTTATATAATTTTGGTGACTTGACTCATACATACATGTCTATTTGTAAACATGAATACACTGCAGTCTACATTGTTGGGGTTGTCGTGGTATGCATTCTTCAGACCTTGAAGAAAAACAAAGGGCTCTGAATTCACATCACCTTCAGCATGACTCAATAACAGATGACAGACTACTTTCCCATTGTTTTCTGTGAAAGAAAGAAAGAGGAATACATAGGAGAAAAAGCCACTCTGGAGTGAAAAGAAATGCCTGAGTCAGCTTGGCACAACCGCCACCCAGTGCAGCAGGAAAACCGAGGCACCTAGATGGCTGGTCACCCGTAGCTTCAAGTCCCTCCCAGGAACAACATTTGGCTCTCACGTCCCCAAACTTCAGCTTTGGATATTCCACAACCAACATAGGAGGGAAACTGTGGCTTCAACATTAAATAAAGAAAATGAAATGCCTCAAAACAAAAGCATAATGTTTCTTCTCAACACCCCCTGTTTTGCCTTCTGTTATTATTTGAGATCACGCCTTAATGCAAAACTCAAAAAGAAAAAAGTAGACAATTCTTTGCAGATAACTCACAGTTCAATAACCTGATAATTATTCATTTCGGCTTAAAGCATGCTTGTAAATATCATTTCAAATGAAGCACTGACTTGATTTTTAATCAATGAAAACTGACATTTGTTGAAAAGGCTTTCTGAATAATTACCTTGCATTCTTATTACTAAAGCGGATTTAATGGAAAATCAAAACAAACGATATTAATTACACCATAGCCTCATTATATATTAATAGGTTCAGAAACCAAACACTGAGTTCTTATAGAGCTGGGTGTAATATTTATATGAAGCTTTATGACGGAAGCCAGCTTAATTCTAATGCATCCATTTCAGTGCTCTGACCTTCGCTCTCTGGAACCACTGAGTTTGATCTCAACTAGGAATCCACTCATCTGACATCAACATTTTGGAATCCTGACTGATAACCCAGAATGTCAAAGGAAGTTGACTTTCTCATGTCAAGGGACATGAGTTGCCTGACGGATCATCTTTCTTTAACTCAGAGTCACTACTGAAACACTGCCCTTCTGATCGCTGAATTTAGAATCTCAAGCAAAGGAACCTCACCATGTGACTCTGCATTAAGATCGGCTGTTATCTTTGTGTCCAGCAAGCAACTCTGATGGTACAAGCAGGAGCCTGAAGATGAGGACAGTATCACAGAAGGGACTTCCAGTCCAGGTCTTCATCTCCTGGACTGGCTTCTCAACCGTCACATCTTTACACTCATGTTCAGCTCTATTCTGGTCCTTTCATTGTAATTAGAAACTAGCAAATGAATCCCTTAAAAGCGGAGGCAGTGAGGGGGACTTTTTAAGTTGTACAATACCTCTGAGGATCAGTTTTTGCATCTGTAAATTAAAAATAAGTAGCTGGTTGTTGTAAAGATTAAATAAAACAGAATTATTATGAAGATTAAATTGACAACCCCCAAAAAAGTGTGAAGCAGCATTCCTGGCATGCGATAGGATGTCAAGTATGTTATTCAAGTCATTATTATTAAAGGACCTTTCCAGTTTGGACGTTCTATGACCATTCAAACATATTATGGAAGACCTACTGGGAAAGTCTGATGAGACTTATTACCTCTTCAATGATATTACCAGCACAATATCCTTCTGACCTCCAGGCTTGCTAAAAAACAACATGAACAGAATGGACAAGTACAAAGAATTGAGTAAAGTTTGGACATAAGAGACTTCCCTACCAGAATACAGACCACACACAAACCGGGGAGAGTCCAGACAATACCACAGTCCTTGAGAATAAAGACTGAAAAATCTGAATCAATCATTCAGCAAAAATGAAATGTGTCAGTAAGTGTTCTAGGTACTGAAGACTCCACAGTAAACAAAACACATGTCCGTGAGTGGATGTCCTAGCTGGGAGAGAGAAACGGGTGGAGTCAAAAGGGGAGCAAAGGTGACTCAGCGCCTCCACCCTCCAGTCAGCCTCCTCCCCGGAGCCTGCCCTGACTTCTCTGCGCCTCCACGAGGCCTGTCAGCCAGCGCCCGCCTGCCACTGGCCTGCTTCTCTCATATAAAGCCTTAAACACCCCCTCGTCTGCCGCTCCAATGACACTGTCCTCAGCCAAGCCTGTGTCCTCCCTAGTCTTGGTTACAAGAGCAGCCCCTTAGCAGAGCTTCCCATCACCCATCTCCACAACTGCTGAAATGCCCTTTTCTCCCTTGAAAACATTCGACTCAGCCTTCAAGTCCCAACTCACATGTTACCTCTCCCATGAGGTCTTGTTCACCTCACATTCCAACACAAGCAGGACTAGTCATACATGCTCCATAATTTCTTAATTTGGTCACCCTCCCAATTATAGCCCAGCTATGCTGTAACAGAACCCATTGACTCATGTGATAAATATTTATTAAAATCTGTACCCTCGATCTGGCACTATTGAAAGCACTGGAGTTAAAACAGTAAACAAAACAACTTAGGCCCCCATCTCAAGGATACACGGATACTCCCTTTCCTTGAGGTTGGAGGTCATGTCTTATTACCTGAGTGCCCTGGGCACATGGGTTGTGTTCAGGCCTTACTGAATGTCCTCATCACTAGAATTTTATTCAGAGAGAACAGGTGTTGGCCAGGCCCAGCCCACAGATTCATGCCAGAATACGGCACAGAATTCCTCAGTGTGGGGAAGGTCCCTCCTTTTGCTCTCTAAAACAGAGGAAACAGAAAAATAAAATAAAATAAAACAGAGGAAACAGTTTCACATCCCAGAAGAGTTCTTAGTGTTTACTCTTTCATCCCAGTACTTTCAATTATATGGAGGGAAAAAAATCTGCCTCCTTTCATAGCAAACCCAAATTCCTTTAATCTATAATTTAAGGTAAAATTGATCATTTTCTATCATCCACAAGTATTTTCTTTAAACATTATGCTATTAGTCATCCAAATAAAATAATCCCTAAATTTTCCTGTCATAAGAATTGTTATTATTATATCAGATAATATAAGCACATAAGTGGGGCAGAATGAAAGAGGAAACCAAAATCATAAGGCTTAAAACTTTTATTTACTCAACCTAAGGGGGCTTCTGTATAACCAGTGTCATCGTTAGATATGAGAAAGAATCAGTATTACTGAGGGAGGTGCTACTTTAAAGAATATATTTTTAATTAAATAATTTATAACTAAAATAAGATATATTAGTGTTGTCTTAGTTAGTTTGGGTTGCCATAAAAGAATACCACAGATTGTGTGGCATAGATAGTAGAAATTTCTTTCTAATGATTCTGGAGACAGGAAGTCCAAGAGCAAGGCCACGGCAGATCCAGCATCTGGTGAGGATGCTCCTTCTGGTTTGCAGATGGTCATCTTTTCATTGTATCTTCACTGGGTGGTGAGAGAGACAGCAATCACTTTGCTCATCTCTTCTTATAAAGGCACTAATCCCATTCATGAGGGCTGCACCCTCATGACCTAATTACCAAAGGCTCCCCCTCTAAACACCATCACATTGGGGATTTAGGCCTCAACATATGAATTTGGGGAGGACACAAACCTTCAGTTCACAGCAAATATGACTAGTAACATAATAAAATAAGCATGAGGAATTATAAAAGCACCATATAAATTATGAGAGTTAGGCCTAAACAAAACTTAAAAGTAGTGGAATAATAATGGCTTACATTTCAAATAGATCATCTTTGGCCAGACCATCATTTAAGCGAGTATCTGAACTACTATCTGCCTCACCTGACTATACTTTGGCATCATTCCATAAACAAATATTGAGAGAACTTATGAGAACCAGGACTTTGAATCTGGCTCTTCTGTTTAGTTTAGGATTAATTCGTTCATTCTGTGCATTCATTGAACAATGTTGACATTGATTATATGCCAAACTTTGTATCCAAGGCCCTGGGAATAGAGAATTAAAGTATCATCTGTCCCTTTAAGGAGCTTATAGTTTGGCATTAAGTCAGACAAACAAACTATTATAACCCAATGTCACAAGAGCTATGCCTGAGTTCTGACTCTGGAATCTCTTAAGACATGTGCTCAGCCTTGATGCGGGGATAAAGGAAGGCTTCTGGGAGGAAGTCAGAGCAGCACGGAAGGAAAGTCAGACAGAAGGAGCCAGAGGAGTGAAACCACAGAACCCTAGAAAAGCATAAAGCAGTATTACCAAATTATTAATGTGGATGTAGATGGGGAAGAGAGAGGTCAAGGATGGGAGAACTGGTGACAGCATCACATGTTGATGTTTAGTCGCTAAGTCATGTTTGACTCTTTGTGACCACATGGACTATAGCCCACCAGGCTCCTCTGTCCATGGGATTTCCAAGGCAAGAATACTGGAGTGGGTTGTCATTTCCTTCTCCGGGGGATCCTCGCAACCCAGGGAGTGAACCTGCATCTCCCATATTGGCAGGCAGGTTCTGTACCACTGAGATACCAGGGAAGCCTACTGCATCACATGGTTGCCCTTTCTGCGTATCCTCAGGAAGAATTTCAGCTTTAATATCAGACCATTATGCCTCTCCTGAGGTACTGGATGATGTCATCTTGGGAACATGGCAAGGCCTGGACACTCTCTGCCAACAGGACAGAACATTATTGGCATGCTCCATTCAGTACCTTGTCCAGGACTTGGCACAAAGCAGGGGTTCAGCAATTTTAGTTGAATATTAAGATAAACTTTGAGGATATTAGACTTGTTTCATCTTACCTTCCAAAATGATTTTCTTGTCTGATGTTTTCATCTTTATCTCTACAAACCTTTAAAAGGAGATGAGCAATAAAGAAGATAGGTAATGACATTTAAAAACACAAATTACTTTATTATCTAAGTCCAAAATTAAAGTATAATTTTAAAGATTAGAAAATTAAGAACTTGGTGATTCTGCCAACAAGGTATGACAAGGACTGGATTCACTCAAAAGGCCTCCTGCCCTATCACCAAAAATACTGGGGAAAATACGTGAAACAGCATTCTGTAAGGCACTGGACATCAGGCATTGAAGGGTGATGGTCTTGGAAGACTAGAAATTAACAAGGTGACCTCTGACACTGCTTGAGGTCACTTCCTT